GAGAAGGGAGACATCTCAGTTTTCCTGTGGGGCCTTCCCTCTGTCATAAGAGTTATGAAGGGAGGAACAAGGCTGGTTGGAGCTTGGGGCAGAGAAAGAGTCTTACCCCACATGATCTCTGGAAGAAAAAGGAAATGTATTGCTAAAGTTCAAAAGTTGGGAGGAGTTCAGAGAAAAAGAATGAACCAAATTCTTAAAAACTTTCCGCCCAGTGTGGACCTGTTCTAACACACACTTTTATTTTGGCAAATCTCAGCTTTCCATCAAGTGTCTGTATTGACCGGTCCCCATCAAAACAGGACAACAAGGTGCCCAAGCTGTTCAGAGCTCACCCAATGCAAGGCACTCCTTACCAGGACCGTGGCCTGGAGGCTCCTGGCACCAGCCAGATCTCGACTGCCACTGCAGGTAGTCCCTGGGAATGCTATTGCTGGGCCCAGCCCCACCGCGGTGTGGATGAAGAGCCCACAGTCCTTACCTGCTTCTTCACGTTCTCAATCTCCGATCGCAGCCTCTGGATACACCTGGTCAGCTCCTGGATCTCTTGCTTGGTGTTACGCAGGTTGTCTCCGTGTCGTCCCGCCGTGGTCTGCAGTTCTTCATACTGAGTGTCACACACAGAACAACCTTTCAGCACAGCACCCGGAGCCCTGCAAACAACTTCTTCCTGGCTAGGTAGTCGGTGTGTTGTGGCTACAGGCAATAATGCTGACCAATATTGTCCCATGGCTTAGGTGCTGAGCTTGAAGGAATATATGGCTTTATAGGCTGTGGGACACATACTGCTCTCAGTTATGCCAGTGTAAATGGAGACAAGTCTCAGTTACTCCAGTGTACACCCACTGGTTTCCCAAGTGTTGCCCCACATTGGAACTGGCAGTGCCGAGATCAATTCCTGGATCTGTCGTGGACGTCCCTGGAGCATTCATAAATGGAGTTTGCTCAGGTACTGGGAGCCAGGAAAAACCACGTGGATTGTTTATGGAAAAACCACGGACTGCAGAAGATATGCATGAATGTCCCGTACCCATATCCCACCCCTTTGGGCCTCTGCAGATTTCCTGCAGCAGCATAGATTCATAGATGTTCGGGTCGGAAGGGACCTCAATAGATCATCGAGTCCGACCCCCTGCATAGGCAGGAAAGAGCGCTGGGTCTAGATGACCCCAGCTAGATACTCATCTAACCTCCTCTTGAAGACCCCCAGGGTAGGGGAGAGCACCACCTCCCTTGGGAGCCCGTTCCAGACTTTGGCCACTCGAACTGTGACACCAGTTAGAGTGGTGGGACACCACCACCACCAGCAGGGACACCAATGAGGGCAGCAGGACTTTGTGCACCTTCAACTAAAAGGGAATTTTCTGTGTGTTTTTCTTTCTAAACGACCAGCATTTGTCAATCAGCAGCAAGCTTAGCCTCTCTGGTTCATCCACTAATGAATTACTCACCCTGCTCTGGTACCATGCCTCAGCTTCTGCTCTGCTGCTCCGAGCAATGTCTTCATATTGACGCCTGACTTCATCAATCATGCTGTCCATATCTAGGTGCCTGCTGTTATCCATAGACACCACCACAGACAAGTCACGACTTATCGTCTGCATCTGAGACAGCTCCTGCAAAGCATTAAAGCACGAGTCAGTGCTGCCGAGTGTTTCATGCCTGCTATTGCTCTGCTGTACCACTTTCCCGCTGTTTTGAACTAGACCAGGAATATCCTGTTGTAGATTCAAGTGTTTCAGAGGACAGATCACAACAGTTTCTTTTTCACATTTTTATCACAATAGCTTTGTGAGAGCTGGTCATGATTCAGCTCTATTGCCAGCTGCCCAAGAGAAGGGGGAGCTCCTTACCTCTTCATACACGTATCTCAGGAAGTTGATTTCATCAATCAGGGCTTGCACCTTTGCTTCCAAATCTACTTTAGTCATGTAGGCACAATCCACATCCTGAAAGAAAGATTGAAGGGACAGAAAATTCTTTAGTCTCCTTGGAGCAGCCCTGAGCACAGCAGAGAGAGCCGCAGCCTGTGTTATCTGGAGAGAAACCTTGCTTCCAAGTCATTAAACCGTGTTCTTATGGCGAGAGCCTTCAGTGCTAGACACTGCAAGTGCTTCAGCGGGAGACAGGTGGACATTATGTTGCTGTCTAATTGGGTTTCCCAGTCACAGAGGACCCACAACTCCCAAACTCGGGTGTTTTTAGGTGTGTCCTGTCCCCTGCATCCTTTCTTTAGCTGCATCACTCACCTTCTTCAGCACCACAAACTCATTCTCGGCAGCCGTGCGCCTGTTGATTTCATCTTCATACCTGTTCAAGGTAAAGAGAGACAAGTTGGCTTGTCTGACTTTTACTGAGTAAGAAACCAACAAACTGATTCTCACACACACACATTTGTGCATGCACACAGGCAGAGAGAGCATATTATGGGTGCAAGTCCAGTGCAATGTCAAGGGCCAACATCTAACTCCAAACTACAGGGGAATGGTCAGCATTTAGCTCGTGTCTAATTTTACATCCTTCAGCTCCATGCCATGCTTTACCAGAACTTCACCCTGCGTGTCCATCCTGTACTTGGTCTGAGGCCTGTAGATCAAACTAGGTCATGCATATTGTAAGTATAAATTAATGATGCACTTTCCATAGGCACCATGGGGTGTCTTCTGCCTGGAAATCTCTGCCCCCACACCCCTACTACACACACAAACACCCACATTTGGATGAAAAAGAGGTGTCTGAATCTCTTGAGCCACACTGGCATCCTCAACCAATACTTGCTATTAGTGAGTTGAAGAAGAATAGCCTGAACGGCTGAGCCTTTTGGACTTGCACATCTCTTTCAATTGTTTCCTTTCTTACTCTGACAAATAACTTACTTTGTTTTGTCATGTTCCACAAGCCAAGTATAATGTGAACAACCTAGGTGTCTAAGTGGGGTTTATATATATTTCATACATTTGGTACGAGGCATGTTTTTGTAAACAGGTCAATGAATATTAGAGTGAAAATTCACTGATCAACCTTCATTGACTTCTCATGGCAGAAGAGTGTGCATCTGTCCTTTCCCCACAGGGACATGTCCAACGCCTTAGGCTATAACTGCTATCAAAAAGTTGAAACTTGGGAAAGAACATCCTGAAAGAACAAGCAGACTGGAGCTGGAGTCTGCAAATGGTTTCTTTTCCACTTACTTGTTCTTGTAGTCTTCAACATAGTTTTGCATGTTCTGCAGTTCTGACTCCAGCTGTCCTCTCTGACCATGGATAGAGTCCAGCTGCCTCCTCAAGTTTTGGATATAATTTTCAAAGAGGCTGCTGAGGTCCTTCCTTGGACCACTATGTCCTTGCTGTTGGAGGAGCTCCCACTTTGTGGACAGAACCTTGTTTTGTTGCTCCAAAAACCGGACCTGAAACCCAACAGACAGAGAGATAAGCCATTCCCCTATCAAGTCTGGAAGAACATAAACAGTCAAGCAAGGATCCTGTTGAATCAGAAAAGCAAGGAGGTTGCAAAATAACGTTAGAGCTGTACAGTACTTTCAAGACATTAGGGACATAGGAGGGTGGTTGCAAAGAGGATGGAGCTGGGCTATTCTCAGCGGGGGCAGATGACAGAACAAGGAGCAATGGGCTCACGTTGCAGCAAGGGAAGTTGTGGTTAGTTAGATATTAGGAAGAGCCTTCTTCCTAGGAGGGTAGTAAAACACTGGGAAAGGCTTCCCAGAGAGGTGGTGGACTCTCTATCCATGGAAGTTTTTAAGACCTGAGTAGACAAAGCCTTGGCCATTGGCAATGCGTAGGGGGTGTGCGCGGGTGCACATGAACCCCCTGTGCGTGGCGGTGCACCCCCTACAAAAAGGCGCCATTGGCGGTATCAGAAGCGCCTGTGGGCAGTTGCCGGTTGCCACCCCACACTCCATACCCTCGCTGCCAACACCACCAGCAGCGTCTGCAGGTGGTCAGCCATACCCTGGTGGGTGCTTGCCACTCCCCTGCCATCGACAGCACCGGCGGCATCTGCGGGAACTGCCCGCTTACCACCGCCGCGCTCCTGCTGCCGGCGGCACGCTCCCACCACCACCAGCACTGCCATGGCCCCCAGCCACCAAGGGCACTAGTCATTCATGGCCTTGGCTGGAATGATCTAGTCATGGATGGTCCTGCTTTGAGCTAGCAATTGGACTACATGAGGTCCCTTCCAACCCTCATTTCCTATGATTCAATGATATTGAACACAGTTCAAAAACCTGTGACATTCTGGGAATTTAATAAGCAAACTGAAATATTTCAACTCGCTTTTCTTGCAATTTCCTCCTCCCCGTATTTTTAATTGCCGGCACCCCAGGAGGAAAGGTTTGCAATTTTTGCAGGTATTACATTCCAGAATTTTGTGGTGGACACATGCGCGCAAGAATATTTTCCTTCCTCATTTCCCCACTCCATACTCTATCATACTTTTGGGGTGTCCCTCTAAAACGTTCACCAGCCAGGGGAACTTGAGATGACAGATCTAGCACTATTGTGAAAAAGGAAGGCAAGTTGAAATAAACTGAATATTTCAGCCTACTAACAGCCCAGTGGAGGTCCCATGGTTCAGCTTGGGAAGAAACATATGCAATAGTGAAACCTGCTAAGGGAGGCTGAAGGTGACATAATGGCTACAACTTCACCTGCTAGAGCATGCATCAGCTAAGGCAGAAGCATTGCTTGGGGTAGCAGAATCTGTGGCTGAAGTATTCAATCAAGTCCCTGACCAAAGATCAATAGAAAAACCACTCTCATTCTGCCTTTCCTAACAGTATAGACCTGGAAACACCAAGTCTTGTACACACAGACAAAGCAGCTCAAAGTACCCATGCTGCAAGCACTGCCCCATCTCCTCACCTTGTCGATGAAGGTGGCAAACTTGTTGTTGAGGGTCTTGATCTGCTCCTTCTCATGTTGCTTCACCTGCTGGATCTGGGGGTCAATCTCCACATGGACGGGCTGCAGGAGGCTGGGATCCACCTGAACAGGTTGGATGCCTCTAGGGAACCCAGGGCCACCACTCCCAGGTCCACCAAAGCCACCAAATCCTCTACTGCCACCGCCAAAGCCACCCACAGGTCCACTGCCCATCACTGGTCCCATGCCACCACCACCGAAGCCATCTCCACCAAAGCCACCTCCCATGCCTCCTCCATAGCCACCTAGTCCTCCTACAATGCAGCTTCCTCCTCCTCCATAGCCACCAGCTCCTCCGTAACCCATCGCCCCACCACCAAAGCCAACACCTCGGCAGCCATATCCTCCGCCATAAAACCCAGAGGAAATCCTTCCGCCTCCACCTCCACCATAGCTCCTGCTGCTGAAACCACCACACCGTCCACCACCTCCATAGCCCCGGGAGGAATACGAGCTGTAGCTGCTCCTGACTCTGCTCCCCCCTCCACCGCCACCACCAATGGCAGAGCACGAGCTATAGCCTCTTTTGCTGCCTCCGATGGATTTAGTACATGACTGCAGAGCCATGGCTGCTCCTCTCAAGCCGAGATACAAATGGAGAGAAGGGTTACTGGAGGTGAGCTGCAAGCAGTTGAGTGCAGGGAGGATGGAGGAAAGTCCCTCTGACTCCGGGGCTGGAGATGCTCCCTTTTATCTGTTCCAGGAGCTGGGCTGGGTTTGCCTGGGTGTTGAGGAGGATGCCAAGTTATTGTCTTCCTGCACTTGGCGTGGGTGAATAATGCAATACCTGCCCAATGGCAGCTTGCAGTGACTAAGAAGGATTGCAGACATTTACAATGACTGGGAGGCTATACTCCCAATGATGTACTTAATCTCTTTTTTGTCCTCTCTCACCTCCTTATTGTGCATTTATCTGGACCTGGATCTAGACCTCTCACTGCAAAACCCTATGGCAGCCTGACTCTTTAGTGAATGTCAAGTTATAGCATGGCTTTCACCACTCCTAATACGTACCTCTGATTACACCCTGGATCTGCTTTCTTCACTGAAAATTGCCTGTGGCTTTTGAGCATGTTTCCCAATCCAGACCAGGAACTTAACTGATTGCATTTCAAAGAGGCTCTGCATTTTCTAGGTATAGACAGCTTCACCTGGGACTGGGGATCAGACCTTTCCAAAATCACCTTCTTCAGTGAGCTCTTTTCACTAATGGACTGAATTCCTTTGCAGGAGGGACCCTGCACTCTGGGAACGTGGACTATCAGGTGTCATGAACAGCAGGGACAACCGCATGGAGGAGGAATGGCATGGACAGCATGGAGAGCAAGTCCCCTTGGTTGTGAGGATGGAAGCAAATCAATGGTGCAGAGAAGAGTCAACGGAAACGTGGCTCTCGTATGATGGTGGTGGGTGTGGAGATAGGAGGCAGATAGGAGATAGATATAAAAACAAAGTTCAGCCGAGAAGGGTGGGAGCACAGCTCTTTGTGAAATCAGTCTTGGCTCTCCTTACATAGAATCATAGACAATGAGGCTTGGAAGGGACCACCAGTGCTTTACTATCCTCCTAGCTAGAAAGTTACATTAACTTAGACTTCCCTTGCTTTCACTTGATCCCATTGCTCCTTGAGAAGGTTACATTTAACCTCAACTTCCCTTTCCTGCAGCTCGAGCCCATTGCTCTCCAGTTTGTCCACATCCTTTCTGAAGAGAGGGGTCCACAACAGGACACAGGACTCCAGATGTGGCTTCACCAGTGCCAAATAGAGGGGAAGAATCACATCCCTCCATCTGCTAGCAATGCTCCTACTAAGGCAGCCAAGGATGCCATTAGCTTTCTTTGCAATTTGTTCCATGCAAATGTTCAGCAAATGTACAGAGCACCTTGGCATGGGTGTCAACCTGGGTACTTACTCTCTTGTTTCCTTACATATTGCCAAATGCACTGTGTGCCTGTTTGCTACCCATGAGAGGCATGGCACTACGATTAGGTCTCACGTCCCAGCTCCATGATGCAGGAAAAGCAATAGTTCGATCAGCAAAATTCCTCTGTGCCGATTGCAGACTGGGCTTATGCTTAGCTGTTACGGGTACTGAGTCATGCTGGTGTCTCCAGCCAACTCACACAACTACGCTGTGATTTTATCACCACCATCGTGTGGCTTCAACCTAACAAGCACGCTCACAACACCCGGCTGGTTGTGGATTCCAGTTCAATTCAGTGAATGCTTTTAGCTGGGAAGAAAAGAAGGAGGGAAAGATTTCAGACGAGTGGAAAATGTTGGCATTTTCCCAGAGCGGTGATTCAGCCCTTTGAGGTCTCCCAAGGTTTTCCTGCTGGAGGGATTCCCAATTCTCAATGTAACAGGCAGTTTAAGGGGCATTTATCTTCCAAGTCTTCTCTGCCTGAATGCCTGAGGGAGGTTGTCCCAACAGGGACACCTTATTTGTAGTTCAGATGATCCCCAGCAAGGGGATGCAAGATTCAAAAACCAGTTTGGGAGCCCGAGAAAATTCCAGCCCAGGGCTTGGCTGGGCAGCTCCCCTTAAAACCAAGTGTCTGTCTGCCCCCGCAGTGGAGAGAGAGAGGCGCGCGCTGCATGACAAGGGCTGGGAGACCGCAGCTGGAGCACTGCGTCCGGTTCTGGGCGCCGCACTTCAACAGGGACGTGGAAAAGCTCGAGAGAGTCCAGAAAAGAGCCACCCGTATGATCAGAGACTTGCACGGCAAGCCATACGAAGGCTGAGGGACCTGGGACTCTTCAGCCTTAAAAAGAGAAGGTAGCAGCTTACATTAAGGGCTCAGCGAACACCTGTTCACCAGGGCACCCTTGGGGAAAACCAGGAGTAATGGCCACAAACTCCTGGAAGACCGATTGAGGCTCAAAATTAGGAAATACTCTTTCACAGTCAGGGTGTCCAGACCGTGGAATAAGCTCCCTCCAGAGGTGGTGCAATCGCCTACCCTGGAAATCTTCAAGAGGAGACTGGACGGTCACCTCTCTGGGGTCTCCTGACCCCCAGTTGTCTTTCCTACCTAGTGCAGGGGGCTGGACTCGATGATCTTGCAAGGTCCCTTCCAGCCCCTTATACAAGCTATGAATCTATGAGAGCCTGCAGCATGGTCTCACCCTGTGGTTGCCTGCTGGACCCTTCGTAGGCGGGCCAGAAGCCAGCGGACCACCTGACGGGTCAAGCAGGAGAGAGCAGACCCCTAGAAAGAGCATGAGGAGTTTGTGAGCGAGCTGAACAAATCCCTTGGGATGGAGACATAGCCCTGGGAAGCCTCTAGAGAGCGGGAAGGCGATTCCCTGCTGGCCTTGGAGACGGTGGGGGGTGGGGTCGGTAAGAGTGTGATAAACCCCCTGTGTGAGTGCCTGGGGAAAGGACGGTGGTGGGACTGGGACAGCTTGGAAAAAAGAGATGCCAGCTAGGGAAAGTCCCCAGGATGCCTGTGTGGGTTGAGACGCAGGAGACCACAACCCTAAGGGAAGCCTTGGTGTGCCTTAAGGGAAAGCGAGCCCTCCCTCCATTCGTTGGGCAAAAGTCGTGGTGACTGGCTATTAGTTGTAAATAATTAATTAGGGATTTAATGCATCGTGCCTAAGTTATTAGCTTTGTATTCATTGATTTGAGCATCCTTTAGGTGTAAATAGTTCTGAACTGTTATTCTTGTATGGACTCGTCCTTGTGCATTGGGAACAGAGAGTGTCCAACTTTTGATATTATTTACTGTTCGTATGCATGTTGCAAGTATCTCCTGTGTATAAGTAAAATTTGTAAATAGTTCATTATGAGGCTGCAAGGTCTTTCCATTGTAAAGGGAGCCTCTTGTCTCAGGGAGCCTCTGGTCGCTCCTAGGTGAGCTGAGCAGGGATAAAGCTACATGGCAACCCAGGTCCCGAACAATTGGACACGGCCGCAGTTAGCACCGCGCGCCAAGGGCTGCATCATCAAGGATTAAAATAACTCGAAAACAAAACAAAGCATTCGGCCAGTGCTGCTCAACGTGTTTGTTAATGATTTGGATGCTGGCACTGGGAGCTTCTTGAGCAAGTCCGGAGGCAACATGAAAACGGGAAGGGCTGCGAACATGTTGGAGGACAGGAGTGCGACTGAGAAGGATCATGACAGATGGAGAAATTGGGCTGGCACTGACCGGATAATGCTTAGTGCTGACAAATGCAAGGTGCTGCCCCTCAGAAAGAGTCATTCAAAATGCAATGCAAAACAGGTGACACATGCCTGGATGGGAGCACTACAGAGAAGGATCTGGGAGTCTTGGCAGATCACAGACTGACTCGACATGAGTCAGCAGTATGATGCAGCTGCATCAGAGGCGAATGAGCTTTTGGGATGCATCAAGAGAAGCGGTAGGTGCAAGATACAGAAGGTGGTAGTGCTTCCTCTTGACTTGTAGCTGCTGCCTCCCACTCAGACCTTTGTCTGAATGCCCTCCAGGGGGGCTCTGCTAGACTGCCGGACATCAGAAGGGCTGCTGGAGGTTGCAAAACTTCCAGGACTAACTGTCCCTTTTTACTTAACCTTGCAGAGGCCTCTGTTCTTCAGCGTGTCTGCTCTACCTTCTCTCAGTTTCCAACTTCTTTTTCAGTATGAAACTCAAATTCTTTCACGTTCTTTCCCATTCACCACTCCTGAAACACCATGGAGTGACCACGGGTTCAATGAACAGTATGCAAGAGGCTGCAGACCCTTGGCCTGTCTTTCACTAACTGACTCATAGAGTCATAGATGCTAGGGTCAGAAGGGACCTCAATAGATCATCAAGTCCGACCCCCTGCATAGGCAGGGAAGAGTGCTGGGTTTAGATGACCCCAGCCAGATGCCTATCTAACCTCCTCTTGAAGACAAATGCTCCTAACTAGCTTCTCCATCAGGCACCATCTCCAAATGCCCAGCTCCCGCAGTTTGCTGTTAGGAGAACAGCTATACATGATACCTTCTATCACTACAACCCCAACGATGCATTGCTTTGGGTCAACCCGAACCATATTTTCCAATTTGGGGGGCCAACGACCACACCAGTGCATGAAGCATTCACATAGCTCCAACAGTCACTTGCTTCTTCCAAATCCTATCAAAGACTTTTGCAGGGGACACCTTTTATCAGACCAGCTGCATGCTTGGGAGATGTAGACAAGCTTTTGGGTGCAATGTATTCTTCTTCAGGTCTCAGGGAAAAGCAAGCATAATGAAGACTCAAAATAGTCTGCAGAGCTGTGAAATTAGAGGAGAGCAATTCCCAAGGGAAGCAGTCAAGCACATCACAGAAGAAAGGATCACTTGATTCATGGAAGACCAAGGTCTGTCAAAAGGGAAGAAGGTCGCTGCTCTATTTGTCCCAGGACTGTCATAAATTAATGACTCCTGCCAGAAGTGTGGGAAAGAAGGCTGCCAGGATGGGCAATACATTGGAAACAAAAGTAAAACTATACCTGCATTGGCATAAGCAAATTCAATAAAAAGTAACTTTAGAATAGTGGTTCTTGACCTTTTTTTTAAACTTGAAGCACCCCTCACCGGACTCGAGGCACCACACCCTGGACTCAGGGCACCGCTCACCAGTGCCATTGCAAGCAGGGCAAGTGGGACATATGAACACACGTAAGCACTCTGCTGTAGGATAGTACTTGTCCCGGACAGTGCTATCCTACA